CTGCTTTCAATTGAGATGATAAAAGTGATACTTCATAGCCCATTTACGGATATATTTTCCTCATTATCCTATCAAAATATAAACTAGAGGCTGTTTATTACTGTACATGTACGAGTATGCCTTACTAAATAACTTAAAACAGGTAAGCAAGGTAAAAAATGTCTTAATTTTTATTCAAATCGTGAAAGAATCGATTAACAAGCATAAATTAGTATTACTGAATGTGTACTTTGAAAATATTAGCGAACAAGTTTTTCTTACTAAAAGCGAACTTGAAGAAGTAGAACAATCCAAAAAATTATAAACAAACTACCTATAACTAGCGTCATGAAAGAGTTAAAGCTTACATTGATCCTATAGCAACAAGGAAGTAATTTAGCACTAATTTATAGAATGACGATAAAAAGATTTATTTCATTGAATTTCATCTGCTATAAGTTTCTTTCTATCATAGCCTAGTATGAAGTTTTCTAGCGAGTTTCTTATACAAAATCTTCATTAGAATCCTTGGAGTTAAATCATTGGTTCACTATATCGATTAATGGTGATTAATTGATTTAGATACCGCGAGATCAGTAAGGTAACAATATCAGCCTGAGATTTACGTAGAGCTTTAATACAATATTGCATTGTCAACTTACACGGCTTCATATTCATTTTCCTTTTCATCATCATTCTTATAGTTTCTATTAATTGTACCTCCTATTCATGTTATTTATAAAGTATTTATAATTACCGTTAATTTATCAAAAAAGATATTTGGTGTGATATCGTAGGCAAAGAATTTATTTCATTGCTGTTCTAGTACATCTATTAGTGTTTTATGATTCATGTTGACTCACCAACTAAAACAGAGGACATAAACATATTTTCGGTACTTTTGCCGTCCTGATCATCAGTTATGTGAGCTCTAGTAAATTATAAAGTATTAATATTATTGCTAATACAAAATAGTATCAGGATAGATTAACTTGAAGCCCCTTGTTCATTACTCTAACTTACGTTTTTTCTGATCTACATTTTTTGATTGCGAATGCAACTAGGGCAATTATTGTAATTACTCCAACAACAGAACCCAAAGATATTCCGATGATTGCTACGACTACAATAAAATATAGACATTAGTTCATGTTGACATGAATTTAGATTGAAATTTAGTTTCGATGTATGTTTATACTTGTAGTTGTGCATTCTTTATCTAAAAGTTTTACCTGACAGACGAACGTTTTGGCACCTATCACCGGTATAGCTGGCGGTACATCTGTTGATAGATTACAAAGGATGCGGTGCAAATTAGAATTTCAATTTTTTAATGACATTTATACTACTATTTCAAATTCGGACCGAAACATACAACATCCTGTTATGTGAAATTATTACTTACGAGCATGCCATCTTGCCGTTATTGTAATAGCATTGACCTTGGTTTAAGCAGTAACTTCTAGGGCAATTTGCTGTATTGCAAATTAAGAATTACAGAAAATTAGTAAAATCAAAATGAAACGGTACTAATCACCTTTATCCTCCATAATTAAAGGACAGTTAGTGTCTTCCATTTAATTAATGATGAATTAAAGTTGTAAAGAAATAGTTTAATAAAAACTAACCTTGGCAGAGTCCATTAGAAGAATTTCTAGCATACCCAGCTATGCAGTTACATTTATAGCTTCCAATGGTATTGTTGCAAATTTTACTTTGCCCACAGGGAGTTAAGTTTTCACATTCATTGTAATCTTTCCAAGATTAATCATTAATTAATTAGTATTGCAATAATTTACGAAAGAAAATTACTTTCATACCTGAGAGGCTGGATTGAGTAACATTATAATTTCCAATTCTTACAACGCTACCAGCTACTGTATTTAGCTGCACTACAGTAATATTGGAAGTAGCTCTTAAAATTAAAATATAGTGGCAAGAAGTCATTCCATTGATTGTTTGCCTAATAATATAAAATTAACAACATTTTGCTGCTTACTCTTTTAATAAAGGGCGCACATTCAGTTATTTAAGTGAAAGAGGGATTAAATTGTAAATTTCATTGACATAATCTTGCATTGCTCCAAGGAAGAAATTATCCCAATCTGCTTACGTGAATGATTCTACCACTGAATCTAAATAATTGGCTCTTGTAAGACTATTTTGATTCATACTCGATGACAGCTAAAAGCAACAAGCAAATTATCAATAAAAGTTTTATTAATAAGAATAAATAATACGGGCATTGGTTACTACTAAATATATAAAAATTGATAAAAGAACTATTAAAGTAATATTGAAATATTTTTTATTACTTATCTGATGCAGCTTGCCAAGACTATTTAAAGAATTTCTTTAATGATTATTGCATTATCAAACTATTCAATATTAATTAGAGTATTGGTACACTAGTTCGATAAATGTTATAATGACTGTCTCAAGAAATTGTCGAAAGACTCGGTATTTATATATTATAACCTTTTAAGTAGAAGAATAATGCTAGGAAAACTACGAGAAATAGTGCAAGTATACCATCTAGTTAGTTACGATACATCTTTATATGCATATCATTAAGCAAATTAACAAGCAGATGAAAAAACTGGTATATAGCAATACTCTAACTTCATGTCCTTTAATCGTTCAATTACTTACTGCCTGCACAACGCTTAGGCTCAAAACTTGGTACTGTAGAGCATTAGAATCAGCCAATTGATTGCTGTAGGGCCTATCTATAGTCATCCTTCCGTTATATGCTTGCACTGTTGGGATCAAGCAATAATTAACATTAGTATTGCAAACTTCGTAACTTTAGAATAAAATTAGAGAAAAGTATAGAGTTTTTATTGGAAGTCTTAAACCTTTGCAATGTTGATCTGTTTGACGAGTTGTATCTTGTAAAGTTATTGTAGTAGAATTGTAGTTGATTCGACATTGGCAATAGTATGATCCATTTGTGTTAATGCATCGAGCTGCATCGCCACAAGTATTGACTGTAGAGCATTCGTTAATATCTGCAAGGGCATAGATAGGAATAGGAGTAAATTATCAAGCATGAGCAAAATTGAAGTGTCCTATCAAATTTTCATGGGTTACAACATCTAGCCGACGAAATAATTAATGCTCGAAAGCATAACCTACCTTTGCAAGTACGATTATCTTTCTGTAACGTATAACCAATTTCACAATCGCATCGATAGCCGCCATCTCCATTCAAGCAAAGCTGATGGCAAAGCGAAGAATTACTGCCACAGATGTTAATATCTGCATTCAGCAAGAGAAATAATGATATTGTAAATAAAGTGAGTACATTAGCATGAATAGTGCGACTAATTCTAACCATAGCATTTTTGGCCATCTCCTGTTAGGCTAGATGGACAAGGACCGCAGGTATAGCCCGATGATGGAGCTGGTTTATCCGTGCAAGTTGTTTGTCCGTAGCAAGGGAAGTTAGAGCATGCATTGAAATCATTCAGACAACGTATCCCAGTATAGGCAGAATTGCATTGACACTGGACTCGATTTACTGAACCTTCCTCAATTAATCCAGATCTAAATCATTTTGTTATATAATTATGACGCGTGTAATATTGATTTGTTAATTTTACAGTCGCGTAAAAAATGAAAAATGAGCATTAGATATGACAGTTACTACTGACTTAAGTTATACCTATAATCACAAGTTCCACCATTTGCACAATAGCACATAATAATCTGTGGTCTCAAAATACTTCTAGCGCCTTTAGAATCAAGGGCAACAAATTCCATGACAATATTTTGATAGGTTTGTACATTCCAAGTCAGCACATTGGTTTTGTTGTCAAATGATGCCCCAGAAGGTGCATTTACTAGTGATACTGTCACTGTGTCATTTTCATTTCGGTCGGTAACTTCAATTGATGTTGTAAATATAGTACCAAAGGTGACATTGTAAATTGTGATCCCAGTTATTTGTGGAGGGAAATTTTCTGTATTAGATATTTGAAAAAAATATATCAATGAGTTTATAGTCAGCTTTTTGGATTAAATGATTATCATCCTTAAATGACAGACACTAGATTATACCTAATTGTGTAGTTGTTTCTTGGTACTGAGTGGCAACATCTTTTCCACTGACAGCAGCTTGTAAATCTAAGGTTAGTGCAGCATCGTATAGGCAAGATATATCATTACCGCAACTTTGTAAAGCTTGTTGGTAAAGTTGTTGATTGGTACCAAATAACTGTTGTATATTTTCTGAAAATATAGGTACGAAAGAAGGATCTGTATAATTTGCCGTTCCTATGCCAGAAGGATAGGTAAACAGTGATTCCTGTGGTGTAATTTGATCTATACAATTAAGAGATATTCAATTAATAGAAATCATAAATTTAACACCTACTTCGATTGCAAACCAATATTACTGGCATATATCACAAAGGATGTTTAAATAATAAGGTTATTCACTTACATAGCTGTCCAAACCCGTAATAAATTTCACTCTCTGTAGCATTCGATCTCAAATACGTTCCATTGGGTCTCAAATAATCATCCGAGGGATTACCATTTAAAGTACCGAGGAGACCGCGTGTATTGCCTTGGATCCAGTTCGGCAAATTCATCGCGACTGTCAGCATTTGACTAAGCATAGCAATTTCCGCTGAAATTCCAGAAGAAAATGAAACAATTAAAGTACCATTGAGTGATCTCGATATCTGTACGTTTTCAAAAGGCAGAAATTCATTGACAGGTAAATTTCTCAATTTGATTAATGTTCGGCTATTAACTAATATATCTATATCGTTCTCGGCCAAATTCATCGTTGCTTGAACCTTATTAGAATCGTTTTGGCTTAATGCAAATGCCGAAAAAACCGTAGCTCTAGCCTTTTCTGTTACATTGCGGATAGCTTTCATCGTTCTACCCTGCAAATTAAAGTAATTGCTGTCGATAGTTTGCAAAAGCGTATATTCACCAAGCCCGTTGAAGGTGTAGGTTAAGCCATCAACAGTTCTGACATGAGGATCACCCCAAAACCAGGCTCGTCGTGGAGGTCGATACCCTTGGCAATTGTTACTTGGCCTTTTCTTATAATATAAATTGCATAAATTACTCGCAACACAGCAATATTGATAGGCAGTATCAGATTCCGCTTGTTGAGTTGCATTTCTAAAGATAAATGTAGCACCACCTGGATTGCCCAAAAGCAAGGCTCCAAAGCTTAAGATTGCCCTTGAGTAACAACAACGTTGCTTAACCTATCAGATCAAAAAGAATAGGTTAGCTTAAAAATAAAACTACACTAAGTACGTAACTAGAGACGGAGTTACTTGTGGAATAAAAATTAAAATTTTGAGCCAATTTTACTGAACTCACTCCGTAAAGATTTCCACGTGGAAACGAAAATAATGATGTAGCGCAGAATGAAGTGAAATTAAACACAAATCGCCTGTCTAAGCTAGCTTGTCCAGCTATACATGGACAAGGTCGCCTTGCTAGGAAATTAGTGTAATAAGAAGCTGGGGGCTCGTTATTGTACCATTTTCTACACAAATTATCATAATTAATTCCAGGAGTTTTAGGGTTATCTAATCGATATGCCCATATGGATTGTTGACCATAATTTCCGTTATAACGATCAATTCTTAGCATGGTAGTACTACCGGAATAGGAAGTTTCATGAAAATACGGTGCTATACCATAGGAATAGCCACTTCTAGGCCTAGATATACTGACTTTATACCACAACATACCACCAATATCGTATAAGAACAATCCAAAGAGGTTTTTGCCGTTAGAAATTAGGACGAGTTGGAATGTATTTGTCTACAAAAGCATGAAAACAATTGATTCGTGTTCATTTTCTTACATACGTACATACTGCATTAACTGCTATAATTTCAGCAAGGTAGTAGTTTCATAAGGAATAATACTATATTTAATCAACAATCATCATCAGTCTTTGGTATCGTACATTACCAGTAAATTACAATCATATATTGTAGAGTAAATAGACTCAATTTATATATATTTGGACGGTAATTCTTAATTTATCTGTTATTTAATTAGGTATAAGTCTGTATAAGTAGTCTTTTTAAATATTCAGAACATCTTTTAACAGTATAAATGTTAACGAAATGAAAATTAAAACAATAGACAATAGAATGCTATACTTTCAAATTTCTAGCAGTCCAATCTGGTGTACCGCAATTCGATTCTAAATTTCTGTATACTAAGAGCCATCATGTATAGCTTTCTATACAAACACTTTAGTATATTTAGTTTACCATCAGCTTACCGTTCGCAGATTAACATAGTATGAATTAGGTGAAGGTAAGAGATCTTGCCATGTAATAACGATAACATGTGTAGGGACGAAACCATTTATACTTTGATTGAAAACGCCATACTGAGTGTCACTAGGATTATTTTGCATGTAATTCTGAAAGTTGGCTACATCCAGTTTTGCCCTTCTTAATATACCTTGAGCTGTGGTAGAATTATCACTTGTATCATATTCATGCATCAATATCCCGGATGATGTATATCCTCGTGCATCGGCATCTGCGAAGAAAGGTGCTATAATAGATATGTTGGTAGGTGCGGGGAAAGGTCGAGGATAGGCTGTTTGGTATCTGGTACCAATACTGACATATCCGTTAATTGAAACCTGAAAATTCAAATTGCTTTTAGTATCAGTATTTAGTAGAAAAAATAGTTATTATAGCTATAGCAATCAAATGAATATCGCTAGCTATTTACTGATATTACAGTATCTTTGATATTTAATAATTTTAGGTATTAGAATATGTAGCAAGTGCGTACATATAAGTCCCTATGGAATGCCTGCATATAGTAAATATCTGTCTGCAGCGTCATTTTATAAATTCCATCATCCGAATTGCCAAAGAACGAATCTCCAAGATTAATACCATGTGGATATAAATGTGGAGCTGTAGAAAGTCATTTGAAGATATAGCTATCACGTTAAATGTCACTTTAAACATTATTATTATGGTCAACTTTACTACTATCTACGAGAATCTCTTCCTTCTATTATTAAATCGCTTTAATCAATCGGGCTAGAGCATTTAGGAGGGCAAAATTTTGTTTGTAATATATCACTAAATTTTATAAACCTCTGCAATATGTTCCATTTCCAATAAAGCCATCTTTACAGGTGCAAGAATAAGAGCCCATCAAATTGGTACATACAGCATCAGGAGAACAGAAACCACCAACTTTGCATTCATCAATGTCTGTAGAAAAATCAGCCATCAGTTGCTCATTGCTATAACACCTAACGTCTATTATTAAACAGCACGCAATGATAGGAACATAGTATCTAACCTGTGCCACATAAATTGCCTGTCCATCCGCTATTGCAAGTACATGAATACTGCCCAACTAAATTGTTACATACTCCATTGACACATGGGCCAGATAGACATTCATCAATATCTTTAAATTATAAGAACTAGTCGTTATCAAATTGTCCATTAAATGCTGGCCGCTAAGTATACAGATAGAACTACTTAACATTAACTTATTTGGATAAAGCCTTCTTAGTTATAGAGAATTTAAGCCACGTATAAATACGATAATTTAAGAATGAACAACTCATTAATTTTGAGAGCTATAGTGCGTGAAAGATATAAATCCTAAATCTTTGTAAAGCTAAATGCACGTAAATGTAATATAAATAATCTATTTTTACACCCTACAGTTATGGTACCATTTGCATGGAATCATAGGAATACCTGTATTACATTGCTTGCCAGTATATCCCGAAGGGCAAATACACCTATATCCAATGGTATTATCGTTCAAGCAAAATCCACGGATACATGGGTTAGAGTCACATCCCGATGAAACTGATTAAAACATTCAAGCATCAAATTTAGTTTTATTAAAGCACGATATTGATAATGCTCAGTTCCGACACGCTAACTAGATTAAACTGCTGACTTACTATCACAAGAATCTCCACTCCATCGATCTTCACAGCTACAGTTATATTTATTGACCAAATTATTACAAGTTCCATGATTACACGGACTACTTACACATTCATTAATATCTGAAATGGATAGATCGGAATAATTGTCTTATGGCAACTAATTTTGATTGACTATGATTAATTTATAATAACTAATCTAGAAGAATTTACCGGTTTCACACTGAATGCCAGTGAAACCAACTGTACAGTTACATGTATAGCCATCTGTCATATCTGTACACTGTCCATTTAAGCAAGGATTGGATGTACATCCAATGGAATCTGAAAGATAAAAATTGATTGATTTCAATTGCACATGATGAAATAAAAATGTTTTTTTAAGATATAGTTATTTTAAGGTTAAAAGTTTATTTCTGTAACCATTGTAGATAGCAATAAAGCATTAGTTAATAAACTATATTTAGGGTTTCAGCCTCAAAATACCAACATTGATTTCTATAATTACTAACTATTGCAAAGTCTTCCTTTCCATCCATTTGTACAAGAGCAGTTAAACATGTTAACTAGATTGTTACAGCTTCCATGGACGCAAAGATTTGGTAGGCATTCATTGATATCTAATGATCATGAAATCATCGTTGTTATAGCTATTATCTAACAGTATATCAGATATGTATCATTAATTACCATATAAAATTATAATTTTATCGTAAATATAGTTGACATTCGTAATTAATTAGCCGCTAAAAAGGTCAAAAAAGTATAATATTAAGTATACCTTCAGCGCAATTTATACCAGTGTAGCCCGGTGTGCATTCGCATAAATATGCGTTTAATAAATTCTTACAAGTACCATAAGCGCATGGATTAGAGTAACAAGGCACCGAAGCTGAACGAGTTTAAATAAAATAGTAATTAGTTACCTCAAACATTTATAAGGAATTAGAGCTATCAATTACCATTGCATAATCTTCCCTTCCAGCCTGGATTACAAGAACAATTAAATGATCCAGCTAAGTTTTTGCAGTTGCCCTGAACACATGGTGAGTTTAAACATTCATCGATATCTAAAGAGACCAAAAAGATTTATTAAAATGAATTCGGTTTATAAATTGTAATTAAGATTTAATATTAATGAAATCTCTTTAACACCTGATTGACACTGAACTCCGGTATATCCTCGATCACAGACACATTGGAATCCGTCATACTCATCGAAGCATTTCCCAAACATACACGGAGCAGAATAACATGAATTTGGATCTAATTACCGAAATCGTAGAAATATTAAATCAAAACATACATAATAGCGTATCATTGACAACAAAATTAGTAGATTCGCAGTACCCAATTCAATACTGTATGGAGCTGACAAATATGCTCTAATAAAGGCTATAATCAATTCTAATTTAGCATATGTTGTATCATTTCACTACAATTCTAGAATTTGATTTGCTGTAATCAATATCAAAATGTGATCTTTAAAGTAATTGGCTTAGACAAGTCATTAGCTATTATTTTAAGTTGAGCGGATAAATGCGATACCGATTTCTTTCTGCTTGGCATATTCTATAGGTACCTAACTACCTAGCTATAGCTAAGATAGTTTTATAACTTTGTACTATCATGGCTCTTACCGATCGTAATATTGCTGCTCTGAATGATTTCTGGCGGAATTGTTGCTGTACACCAATAGTTGCCACCATTACTATTTTTAACTGGGCTCAGTATTAATACTGATCTAACCCGAATATCGCTTACAACTTGATTCAAAATAATGACGTTATTGCCATTATCAGCTTGAAAGATTGTTCCATCTTTATACCAAGTAATGACGGGCGCCGGTCGACCATAAGCCTCGCATATAAATGCAAGATTAGAACCGCTAAGAGGCATGGAAGAGTTTGCAGTAATGGAAATATCTTTCACTGGGATTTCTATCAGTAAAATAATAATGCAAATAAATTCGATTAATAAAAAGTAAATTTTATTAAATTCAGTCAATGAACTAAATTTTCATATTGAAATCGATGGATTAAAGTTCAAAAATAAATTTTAAATTAATTCAATATTATATCGCACCATCAACGCATCTTTGTCCGTTAAAATAGCCAATTTTGCATTTGCAGTAATAGCTACTAAAATTTTCAGTGACCATGTTGATACATTCAGCATTATTTGAGCACGGAGAGCTATCGCATGGTAGTTTTTCTCCTGTTAATTAGATATTCGAGTATATGCATATTCTTAGTCAAAAGAAGATCACGTTGTCAAAGATAATTCGCTGTTATGTTAAAATTGAACTCTTGAAATACATTTCGATAATACGGGTTACGATCAAGAAACTAATCCAAGTAAAATACCGTACTATCTATCAGAAGAGTGCTATACCTTCCGGAACGTAGTAGCAAAATAATTGCTCATTGAATGGATGGCCTACGCTAGTACTGCAAATAGAATCACGAAAGTTAACTAAGCCAATCGAATACTATGATCTCTACAAAAATGATATACCTTTGAGTAGTAGGTTGGAACATAGTTGCAGTAGTTGCGGTCATAGTAGTTGCAGCCATAGTCGTTGCAGCACCTGCTGTACCTGACGCAGATCCATTAGTAGTATTAGTAGAACTACTAGTTCCATTTTCAGTAGCACCGTTGGTAGATTGGCCAGAAGATGAGGTAGTTGCGGCCATTGGAGTCGTCACTATCCCTGTAGTAGCAATAGTTACTGGAATAGTTGTAGGCTGATTGGTGGGAATAGTATGATCTAAATAGGTGGGATCCGGGAATAAATATTTATCAGATTGAAACAAAATTGGAAGTATTTAGTGAGCAATAGATTATATTGAAGTAAATTTAACTGAATATTACAAACCATAGCCAGTAATTGCACTATAACATTTGAATTGAACATCATTTATTCCCGGAAGTATAGAACAATCAGGTCGGATGTTAATTCCGTTAGCACTATAGGGTCGCACGCAATTTGAGGCAAGGAATTTTGTGCAATCTTCTCGACAAATTCCATAAAGTACATTGCCCTGGCATACGGGGAAGGCTGAATAACAAATATGTTCCCAAACTTGATTAAAGCAGCTGCCCGTACCGCCATTAGCGGATGAAGTCAAGATTTGGGCTTGAGTAACTTGTAGATAGGCTTCAATCTTTTCTTGAGTTAATCCTACTGGAACATAAACTTTTGCTCCAGCTAAATAATTTTTGCACATTGATCCACGATACATTTCGCATTGTGCACTGTGTAAATAAATACACCGAGAAATATTAAACGTCAATGGAAATAAATTATAATTAAAAAAATATCACTTGTAATAATAAATGTGACTCTACTAACGTGTAATTTGCTTGTGGCTTGCCTTCGTTACAAGGATACAAGTAGAAATTATAAATTAAAAGTAAAAATTATCATGTTAAATTTGCATTGCATTTAATTGCTTTAATGTGGTAGATTGTTTTTCAGTAACGTAATGAGTAGTAAATTTCAAATCAGTAAGTAGGTTTTGAATAGAATATTGACAATCTTAAGAAATTGAAATTAATTTAAATTCTCCTTAGACAACTTAAGCACGATAGTACTGTATCTTACTCACTTAATATATCACTGTTTAAATATCCCTCTAGCCTAACGCATTGATTGTTATTTGGATTTCTGGAAGGTAGTGAGAAGCAATTTTGACCACCAAGTCCTCCTTGATAGATTACAGCAGCAGTACATTCAAATGCCACTTGCTCATACAGGGCGCAATCTTCTCGACATAAAGTTTGTACTCCCTGGCTTTGATAACAGGAGCCATAGGAGGTCTTGCACAGTGCTGGCAGCATGGACAGTACGCATTTGACAGACATTACACCAGTTGATTGTAAGAGCGTGAAAATAGAACCATACATTGCTTCAGTTGATGATAGGTTTTGGTAATTTGTTAGATCCACTTGTGAGCCATTTAAGTATTGAGCGCAGTGACCAGTCGATGAACGGAAAGTAGCGCAAGTTACTGGCTGTGTGGTTCTATTGATAGGAAAATAATAACTGTGAGAAATAGCACTTACATATCCGACTACTGTACGCCGCTAAACCAACAGAAATATTAGAATCATAATATAGAGTTGTTAAGCATATAATTAATCAACATTTATTTCGAGGTAGAAGTATTTTTGAAGCCCCTGTGGCTAATTAACTCGTACTGGACTCAATATAGCAATTGAATGCCCAAAGGATCCTGCAAATTGCATCTAATTTTGAGTTTTTTTACATTTAATTTAAGATTTGAATTAGACAAAATATTTTATAACTATATAGCGGACTAAAACAAACATTTTATAAGTTAATTATTAAAGGTTAGAAAAGTAGTTGATTCCAGTGTAAATATTGGAGTGAAAGGTATAGTATTTGCTTTAAAAGTCTCAACGATATATATTTAAACCATGGACATGCAGAATATCAACTTACGCTCCAGGTGTTGGTGTTGTTGGTGGCGGTTCTAAACGTAAAAGTTACATATTAAATAACAGCTTAATTTCAAGAGAACTAAGTATAGATAATTTTAAAAGACAGTAAATAGTTACATTTAGCTAACCTTGGCAAGTTAAACGGACATCCTTTTGGGGAGAGCAAATGATTGTTCCCCAATGGCGTATATCACATTGTGTGATATTTATTTCATTTCCCTTGCACTTAAAGTTATCGACCCATATTTTTTCGCCTTGAGTAGTTTTTCCAGTAGTATTATAACTATGGAATATTCCAATGCCTAATTGCCGACACAAGACGTTGCCTGCGGCTGCATCAAAACGATGATCACAAAATGAGCCCCATTGACCATTATGATAAATTTGAATACGCCCGGTTCTATTGGATGTTTTATCAACTAATCGAACATCTCCTTCGTTAGCTCCTATCGATGTAATTCAGAAGTGCGTTTAAAAACTTCGGGCAAGATCAATCGTGAACAGCAAGTAATAGTATAATTTCTTACTTGAAGTACAAGAAGTTCCGTAATATCCATTAGGGCAACTGCATGAATATCCATAACTCTCATCAGTACAATTTTGAGGGCTGTTGCACGGATTAAACTGGCATATATTACCTACAAATATAAATAGAAATAAAAAATAATCGGTGCTAAAATTGTAATTTTGCCGATAAAATATGAAGTCTATTCCCAATGTTCATAAACCGTAACGAGTTTTAAACCACATCTTATAATCGATGTATTGTATATAGATTCATATAATTGCGATTTCTTATCAGTAATTGCTGTAGATTCTTTAATGTATAACTTACGTAGCTGACAATTTTTGCCACTTTGAGCAGATGTACATGTGCATTTGTATTGTACAGGCTCCGTCGCATTAGTAATTTCACAAGGATTCCGATTGCACTTGTTGGAAAGGCATGGATTATCTAGTTCAAAGTTTGCAAATAATTGCTTTGAAATAGATTCGCATTACGTTATGATTTAGCAGTAAGTACCATCGACTGGTAATATCACAGTAAGATCTAAGAATACGCAGACCCGCTAATATTCAAATTCATCATTGTATTAACTCGCTCATATCGTAAATGCTGTGATTAAGATTTAAAAATTAAATAATACAAGTAACTGTGATGTCTTTCAATAATAATTATTAATTTATTAAACATCAAAATGATTGCCATATAAGGCAGAACCATATAATTTAATTTAAACTTAATCTTAGATTATGAAAAGTATTTATTTAAAAACTAAATAGACAAGCTGCATAGACTAATATTTCTATTCTGGATTCCTGATTTAGTCCGAGAATCAATCAAAAGTGATCGAAATCTCTATATCAGATACTTACTGGTGCATATTACTGTAATGGCCTCGTTAGCAGCACAATTAACATTTCCCCAAGGATCGTGCCTACAATCTGAAATTTCACTTTCATCTCCATAGCAATCTACATTTGTTAACCAGTATTTGCCATTATAGGTGCCAAAGTTAGAGCAGCATTTAATATTTGCAGCACCAACGTATCCGAGCTGGCGGCATATGACTTGCCCGTCAACTAAACCGAAATTGTCGTCGCAAATTCCTCTCCACGAACCATTATAATAGACTTCAGCATATCCATCCATCGAAGTTGATCCACCTTGCAAACGTACATTGCCATTAAATAGATACTGATCTAAATGTGGCATCAAACAATCCGAGTTAGAGTTATCTACCTATCCACTTTAAACCGTGTAGATGTATATTGACAAAAAGGGTTACTTCGGTCAATGCATGATTCAGGTAACTTACGTGTTTCACAATTCTTGCCGGTGAAACCGTTCATGCATCCGCATTGATAATCACCAACATCATTGATCACGCAGGAAGCACCATTTAAGCAAGGATTAGAATTGCAAGCAAGGCCTAAGAGGTTAAAAGTTACTTCCATTTAAATTCTATATTTTTTAGCATGATTAATTATATGAATCTGTTATTTAACTTATATTTACAGCAAAACAAAAGCAAATACTACACGGGATAAATTTACCAGATTCACAACGTTGGCCAGTAAATTTGGAACTACACTGGCATTGATAAGTATTGTTGTTAAAATTAACACAAAAGCCAGTTATGCAAGGATTTGAGGAACAAGCAGGCACTGTTAAAGGCGTTTAACATAAGAAATAAGTAAAATCCAAACTTAGCACATATTAAAATTCAAGGCTATAAATCTAAATAAAGAAGTGTGTAAATTAATATCTTACACTGATCACAGTTCTGGCCAAAATAATTTGAAGGACATGAGCAATTGTAGCTAGTCAAATCGTTTGTACAATTTCCACCATTCTGGCAGGGACTAGAGGCACACGCTAAAGCTATTTTTAAAATTGAGCAATACTTTAGAAACTAACTCAAGTTATACTAATAAGAAAATGCCTGTATTGTAACGTCACAAATAATTAACTTGATATTGCTAAACATGAAGTAGTTGCTATTTACTGTTAATCAAATTCGCAGGAGACAAATATGCTATCAGTTAATAATGTGTAAACTAATTTATTAACCAAGACTTTAGGCTACTGGAAAAATTATTATTATATAATCTATTTAATCAATAAGTATGCAACAGTCAATTCCGGAATCATTGAATTAACTAGAGACAAGATATTAGGTGATTGCAGCGACTTGAAAATTTATATTTTACCCCACCCCCTATGAGAATGTATAGTATTACCTTGTTCACAATTATTTCCAGTGAAATATTTATCACAAACGCAGTAATAGTCGTTATTAAATTCTTTATGAACACATTGACCATGATTACCGCACGGCTGAGCTAAGCAGGCATCATCTGTAAAGGATTGAATAAAGAAGCAAAACTTATTTTATAAAAGTTATAGTGAAATAAATAATTGCATATTAAAACATAACTATTCTAAAAAATAAATATTAATTTAAGTGATTTGATTATCGCTATAATTATTTGCTTACTTGTGCAAGTAATAGTATTCCAGAAGCCTCCGTGATTTGCACAAATTCGATGGATGTAGTTTCCGTAAGAACACTCGTATAAATTCTGAGCGTTTTCATTGCATAATATGAAATCTAATGCTCTAATAGATGAGGCATAATGACCAGTACTGCAACATGAAGTAGCAAAGGCACGCTTATAGCCAATGCTTCGACATGCTGTATGGTATGCGGCAGCGTTTACTTCACAACTAGGTCCCCATGTTCCATTATAATAAAATTCTAGTACCCCCGTGTAAGGCTTGCCTTCCCAATGATTAACTAGACGTGCAGTAATATTATAGTTGGCAGCTAAAGTATTCCAAGAAAGAAAAGAAGTATTTTTTAATCACTGCAAATTCCATGCACACAAAACAAACTTATTTCCTTAATTAATATCCAAGCTTAAAAATTTTTACTTACTGTCAGTACATGATTCGCCACTTTTGCAAACGCATTTGTAGCCAAAGATTCCTCTAACACATGTAGTGTTTACGGGGCAAGGATTATTTCTGCAATTATCTAGTACTATAAAGATAAAGTGGCGTTCAATTTATTACGTATTTTGCGGTCAAAGAATTACAAGGTCTCATTTTACATGCTATATGTGATTGTTAATACCTTTATCACAATTCTGTCCGGTGTAGCCTGGATCACATTTACAAGTATAGGCATTATTATCTTGTTTATTAGGTACACAGCTCCCATAATTGCAAGGTTTACTGACGCATACTGAATCTATGAAAGTAAAAAGGATTAGCTTCTAGAGCTTATTTGAATTATTATAATCACCTCTAATATATCATCTCTTAGGATCTTAACATGAATAGGATAGTCCTAAAAATTTTCACTTAATCCGAAAAATTTTTGCTTAGGCTGAAATATCACTTACTGGAACAAATGACTCCAGCGCTATTACGCACATCACATGTTGCTGATTGATCACGTTTAAACTGACACGCTCCGATATATTTTTCCTCTCCTGTACAATAAATACTAGCCATAACGGATAACTGAGGATTACCACCATAGGGTTGCGTAGGAAATGATCCACAGCAACCAGTCGATAAGGCACCACGATATCCCAACTGCTTGCAAGCAACTTGAGCAGATACCATATTCCAACCGTGATGATAGCATAATCTATACCAAGTGTCGTTCTTGATGATTTCAACAATTCCGCTCGACAATGTTAAATTATTGCCATTGACTAATCGTATCTTATTATCCACTATAGAAAAGAGAAGAACGTAATTTCAATTTTCACAAAATTGATAATAAGTAGTCAATTATGTTCCAGAAATCTAATAAAGAAAAGAGCGGTACTGTATCTAGTGAATGAATTTTGGAGAAAAATTTGATATAAAAATTATACTCATACATTGACCCTTACACGAAATTTTTTCAAATTTTCGTAATAACATTTTATAGCATGTCGTAAATTGATACCATCGTTAGTTGAATCACTTTTAAATGATATCAGTATTACCTGGTTGGGGATAGGGCACGTTATAACTAACGCAATCGTCATCTGATAACTTTGCACAATTGATATAAGGGTAAAGAATGGATTGTTGAACGCCGGGGATTTGAGAAGCACACGTCTTAAATAATTTAACCATTCTATAACAATCCGATTTGCATAGGTTAGAATGATCATCGCATTGCTTGAAAGTAGTATGGCAGAGGGTAGCAGAAATATATTCACGGCAAGTAAGCGAAAAGTTGCTTGCTGTATTGAGTAAATCAATACTATTTTTGATATCTTTTTCTGCCAAGTCCGCTGCAATATTTCCAGCCACGGTAACATTAAGAGAAGGTAAGTATCCAGAGCAGACATTGCCACTATAGACAAAGCACTCTTTATAATCAATAACATCAGGGCTAAGAATAAAACAGAAAAGGGAAAGTTTGATTAATATTAGCAGGAAAAGATTCTCGTTTGTTACTAATACATCCATAATAGTCAGCAGACATTTTTCTAATTAAAGAAACATTCAAAATGATACGGATAATGGCATATGCAGCATAGTTTAATTCAAAACTTACCTTGGTGGATCTGAATACCAATGATATTTATTCATATTTATGTAAAGAAGAATGCAAATATTAAATTAGCAATTGATGAAAGCAAGAAAACTGCTATCCAATTCATATTCCATGCTCCCTGTAGCTCTATTCCTGTTGATACTTAAGTAAGGTACCGTAATCAAGTATATTAAATTGAAAAGAACGGAATTGGATTATACATATTTATGAGAGGCGGCTTATGTTAGCAAAATTATTAAAAGTGGAATTTAAATATAAAGCTAAAAGTTGTATGACATTAATCTATAGACGAAATTTTACCTTGAATATGAAAGCATTGTGGAGGATTATTTTGTTTAATGGATGAGCATGACTTAAGTCCAAATTCTTTATCGCTGCCAATCATACCGGAAAAGCAATTCTTTCTGAAAGTCTGATATTTTAAGCAGTCGCTCTGACACATACTATTAAATGATGTTCCATTGTAGCACTGTAGATAAAGTGAGCTACAGACGTAGGGTTTACTAAATCTCAGACATTCATACGGCATACCACCTGTGGCTTGGGCGAATGAATAGACAAGACTCAGTGATTTTTCATACTTGTTAGCATCGTTCAATTTAGTTGCTAAATAATTTACGTGGCCAGCGCAAAATGATCCTTTATACACGGAGCAGCTTTGCCAGTGTGCTAGAGTGTTTTGATAACCATACTATAAATGTTATGAGGAAAAAATCTCATTAATTCAAATTTTTAAAGGCCGCAATTAATTAATTAGAAATATTTCCATGTTAATTACATATTAAAGAATCCGTCCAATTGAAAGTGCCAAGATACAATACGAGCGAAGATTGCATACATAAAATAGCAATACAGTAAGAAAATGCCAAAACATTAATATCTGTGCTATAACTGGCAAATACAGATAACAATCACGAACGATTTCGATTTTTAATTTATTAATATTAAGAACCATCCATTATTTAGTTAACTCATTAATTGATTCATGAAAATTTCTACTCCAGATTTACCTGTACTCTCACAATTTTTGCCGGTATAACCTGGCCAACAGCCACAGGCATAAGTAGTACCTCTATTAATTACGGAGCATTGACCATTTAAACATGGATTACTCGCACATGGCGAAGGACAACGGCTGTATTCTAAGTGAAATTTAATTTATCGAAATGATCAAGTACATTAGTTACGTACAATCAAATCAGAATAAAATTCGATGTTTTTCAACCGCAATCAAATTATTGGCATGATTACTGTTACAGTGATATCTTACTCTTAGGACATTTTAATAAGTATGGTAGTAGCTAATATCAAAAATATCCATATTTGCAGTACTAGATAAGCAATGCTTTAACGTGGATATTATTTATGATAGTTTATTACGTATTTGATATTGATTATTATAATGTATAGATAGTAGTAAGATGATTCAAGTTCTTGCTAATGACAGTTGAACCAGACAACATACGAGTACATGCTTAGATGAAAATTTAGTATGATTTAGAGATCAAAAATATTTACTGATAAAAAAAGCTATGTAAGGAGTATCTCAGTTCTAGATTATTCTCCTAGTAAGATAACATAATTATACTGTAGTTATTTACAAATTAAACGGTTCCTATATAAATGGGAACATTTGAGTTGAGTTATGTTGGTGAAAAGTTGTAAATGCGTCTATGCTAATAGAATTTCTCTCTTCACAGTACTTCCCTGTGTCTTTTAACGCTTATTAAAAGGGGGTTTAAGTCAGCAGTTACTTATAGACTTTTACTTTTCATTTCTTTGTCACAGAATTGAAAGTGTGACAATTATATAAAATTAAATTACTAGCATAATTAACTACTGTACATTGGTTTTCTATGATTAACTTAGTCGGATATTTTGTAAATTTAAATGAAATTTAATTAATTACATGATTAAACGTACATATTTTGTGACTAAACTAAAATATTAAAGCTTGACTCCTCAGCTCATATGATAACACTAAGTAAATTAAGAATTGACAGACTTCACAATACCTGGCACACAAGAGGAAGTTGAATTTTGGGAATTACATAGGCATAAGTAGGCAATTCCGGTTTCATTTCTTACATTAACACACTTGCCAGCCGTACAGGGGCTACTGCCGCATGGTAACCCAGATGCATTTATAGCTATCAAACAAAAATAGAATCAAATTCATTTTGCCATAATACAGCCTGCAACTACGACACTATAGGCTTTAAATTAATTTCTCTTAATAGCAAAGGGTCTGGTATTTCTTCATACCAGGCAATATTACATGATTTGAGAAAATATTTGATTACTGTAGATTAGCATGCAATAAACGGTAAAATTCTTCCTTAAAATTGCTCGTTACAATATAGCATTAACTAATGAAAAATGCTTACACTCGTATCAGTGAACAGCATTACGATCTTTACTTCAAATTTAGACATTATTAGTAACATGCAATAGCATAATATAGCTCTGATATATAACAAAGTGATGCACTTTTTCTAATATTCAAAAGATCTATAGCAAGACGTATAGGCTTAATACAGACAAAGGAGAGTATAGTTAATTTATTAGTTCAGACATTGCATCCTCCAAGATATTATAATAAGCATTGAATCAAACCTTCATTGCAAAGTTGTCCTTGGTAACCATTGTAACATAAGCATCGATACTCATTAGTATTAATGCTTTGACAATATCCATGGAAGCAAGGTTGGCTATCGCAAGCAGTGGTAGAGGCACGACCTATTAATAAGAATTAATCCTAGCTAAGAATATTTCCTTGCCCCTTCATTATGAAATGCAATAGCTGGATCGAAAATCATTGACGTCATGATCATCTAGTAGTATTTCTACTATGGCTACAATGATGTATTAACCGGAAATTATTGACGATTAGGCAGGCCAATAATTTTATTGAAATATATTACTTTTTAAACAACTTCATTAACATATTTAACAGACGTATTCGACAATTTCAATAATATCAACAATAGACTTTAATTTCTATTCAACAGTCAATTAACGCTATCTGTAATTGAAAACAACAACTAGTAATCGATCTTTTCTTCAAGGCACCACGCCTTTAGGGAAGTAATTGTATCCTGTTGTCAAACAAAAGCAATGTGCTAATGATGAAGAAGAAAGCGCTACGATGACTCATAAGAAATGGCGGAGTACTTGTAGCATAATAAAACCTGCTACTTATGCGATTCAAGAATGAGAATAATCTACTTCAGTCTTAGGGTACTGTCACAAAACAGCTTTGCAGCAAGATAACGTAATGCACGACCAATAAGTTAATTCCTTGAACCACGTATCAAGGAACGATATCTACACTATCACAAACACTTTTGCTCTACTAGCAGACTACACAAAGACTTAAACGCCTCGTATTTTACGTTAAACACTAAGTTGGAGAATTCACTTTATTTCACGATATACTGCATTTTTATATATTACTCCTCAATAGTTCATGATTCATAGTTAATACAATTAACATTAGAATCATTTACTGAATTAGATATTAATTTTAGCTACTGCTCCCTTAATGCAGACAACAGTATTTACGAACATAGACATGTAATGACTAATACAGAATAGTCAGATTACGATATGTCCTGTCACGGAACATTTCCATGATAATTTACAGTCTACCATAAGTAAATTGCAATCACAATGATTCGAACTGTAAGTAGATGATTTGCATTCCCTATTATAACTATTAATTTCAGTATGTGTATAAGTGTCACTGTCATAAAAAGTCAGTGCTATATTAAAACACAGTATATCCAAATTAGAAGTTAACTAAATAAGGATAGTCTAATAGAATTATCCTAACATAGTTATTTCTACTGTAATACAGTATTTAACACTGTAACAGGTACTATCTTCATAATTATAAATTATATTTCTAATCTTAATAACGTAGATGTTACATTAGCAAACCTGATAGCACCTGCAGTATTTTATTGATATCTGCGGTAATTTTTTAGTTGGTATAAGCATCCGAAATTTATTCGATATTGACTATCCAATATCCATAGCTCGTAGCATTTTATAACTGATACTATTTGGTGCTAGTTACATATAAGTTCTCCAAAATTCCGATCCTGTTGATATTTCCAATTTGCTAACCTAAGCTACCGTCTGAACACCTGAAATTTATGCTATATTAACCATTTATCCACAGCTTCTTATATTTTATAAATAATACTATCTTGTGGCTATTCATTATGATTTCTACAAAATGTCATATTGATATTTCCAGATTGCTGACTAGAACGATAATTTAAACTTGCTAGCTGTACTGTCTAAATCTTCTAACATAATGCCATATCTATTTAGAATATTCTATCCTATTTACTCCACTGCAACGTAGTTGGATTGCTATTCTGCACAATCTAGTCCATATTAGCTTGATTTATTGCAACTGTAGTAGTTACCCGCTTTTCAGTGGCTTCGCTTACATGCAATAATGAAACATAATAGGAATTAGAGTGTCCAAATTACCAGTGTTCGCATTAGCTGACTGATAATGCATCCGCAAGAAATAAATATATTCGTTCCCGACGTCATTTATTACGTTATAGTTCCATTCAAAGAGCTACTACTACTACTGTGAGATGATTCATGCATTGTAATGTCTCCAATAAAAGACAGATTATTTGCCTATTAACCACTTTCTCCATATATATAGTCCTAGTTTTGAAAATGAGCTACCTGTTACTGTTCAAAAGTTGCGTTGTTGTAGATGTAATTTAAAGGACCAGGTTTCACTCTAAACTATATTAAGTGAATGATAAAAAGCGATAAAGCTTTGATGATCTAACTAGCAAACGATATTTCCTAGTAGGTCTTCGTTTACCAAGCTTGATTTGTTACATAGATTCGCCATGATATTCAACTTTGTTTAAGTATAATAAAGTTAGATATCATTGCAAGTAATTCATTTTAATATGAAATACGCCGCGACTGCTTGAGGTATTACAATTTAGGCTATCGCCCACGAAATTATTGTTAATGAATAATTGCCATAGAACCATAATTTTTTTCATTAAAGATCTCTGACTGGGTCAGGCATTTATCGCCATTACTGCAAGTAATCTGTAATGGTGTCAAATGGACTGACAAACTATTGCAACTCTGTACGGCTTTGCATGCAAAACAAAATCAAAGCTCGTGCTTAATGTATTGTAGCTTTGTACCACAAAAGTGGTCGTACGGTAATCTCCGATAAATTATCCTACAAGTATCGCCTAATTTCACCAGCAATTTTTCTTTCTACTTTGAACTCTGAAATCTCATAATTTAGGAACTTATCATCATCGATATCAAATCTTAACAATAGGTTTAAATTATTTCTGTAACACAATCTGTTTATCATTTACTGGAAAATTTATAGCTGTTTAAGGATTTTTTAGTGTAATATATGTAAGTACTACAAAAACGTCATCGAGTAATTTCAAGTAAAAAATTTTCTAATTATCCTTCTTATGAATTCAATAATAAATTTATAGCAAAATAGTTCGTAACGTCACGTTCAAATGTCTCAATTGCAAATCTATCTTAATCCAAATCAGATAGTTCATTTCTTGAGATCCTTAACAACGTAAATGGAACAAATCATGCTAACTAATTCTATAAGATCATTTCATCGATGGTGCCTTTATTAATTGGAGCTGCATTCTATTTCTTCCATGCCATATATATTATAATTTAGTTTCACGTGAAACAGGTAGATTTATCGCAGCAATAGCAAACAAGAAACTACGAATAGAGCCATACTTCTCAATTAGTATAATAAACTAGTCAAATTTTTGTATTAATTAATATCCCAAGATTTTTCATTTCCTTATGTACGTAAATCAAAATCAAAGAACATTAACCATTATACCGTCTTAGCAGTTTCAATTAGTTTTCTCACATCAGTACGATAATTAATAAAATATTTAAGCTGCTAGTAATTTCGGTAAAATTTTTAATTTATACTAAATATCGTGCCAACAGCGTTTAGTATAAGGTTAAAGAACACTTTTTATTGAATCAAATCCTGATGGCAGTGCTAAATGTCGTTAGTCGTTCACGTTATGAAAAGCTAATCCAAGCAATTAAGTCCTCAAGTTAGATCAACAGGTTATTTCCCAATGTGATGACAAATCTAAATTTTTTAAATTATTGTTTGATTTCAAATAACTGTATGGTCATATTTATGCACACTATTTCTAACCGATTTATTAATATAGCCCAAAAAATAATAATTTTAATATAGTGGAGAATTTAGAAATCCACTAAAGCAAAAAATGAATTCATTGTTCATAGACGTAATCCTTGTGTCCCTCTACTACAGTAATAAAGTCATAATCTCAATCCCTTAGTGTGTTTCAAAGTAGTTTGAAGATAGAGTTATAGACTAATGTACCAAAGCTATTTGGTCAAATACTTTAGGAATGAAAAACTTGCACCGATTGCATCTAGACTTGGTAATCAATTTTATTTTACATTCTACAGTTACAATAATAATTTTAGTTCACTAACCACTTTTAAGCTGAATTTGGCTTCCGTAGACAGTTGAACATAGTAATATTACCTAAAATAGTAAATAAAATCAGCATGGAAATGATGAGCTGTGATGGTCTCAAAGAGACTGAATTAAACCACTATTGCAGCGCCATCATCTGCCTACGCGTGAAAATATCTCATTATACAGTAATTAAATCCAAATAAAATTTATCCATTATATAATTAATTTATAATTTAACAGCTTTAATCGCTCTCTATAAACCTTTTTTTGTGCAAACCGTAAAGCTTTTTAAAATAATATCATTCTAATTCTTACCACGATTGATAGCAAAATCGCATAAGGCATGGCTCGACCTTGAATCACCATGACCATTAATTTATCTTCTCAGAGATCATTAAACAGGTCTCTAGGCGGTAGATATTAACCTATGACGGTAGCTACCTATTAAAGTTATACTAAATAACAAATTTATACAAACTTCTGTCTTTAATAGACTGCTTTAGGCAAAAGATTCTTATTACCACGTGATAACTGAAGATATTACCACGCATAACAAGTTATTGAATAAAATCGGCGCGTAGTATTGTTCAAAAAACTTATTTATTGAAAGTCTATTATTGACATATTGATAGAAGATAAACAGAAATATTTTTTTATCTAGCATTACATTGTCTTTGTAGTCTTATTTCAATGCTGTTGATACTTAAGATATGCAATTATTAGCAAACTCTGACAATGATGATTTCATTCTGATTATAGATAAATAGAAATGTTTTTTAGCTAGCATTATATTATCAACTCAGTCCTATTTCTATACTATTAAAACTTAAGATATAGTGCAACTATAAGAAAACTCATGTAATGGCTGTTTTATTTTGATGAAGATAAATAGAAATATTTTTAGTTGGCATTGCATTGTCCATACAGCTCTGTATCAACTCTATTGAAGCTTCAGATATAATTCAATTATTAGCAAACGCTTCTTCTCATAATAAGGATTATATTCTGATGTAAGATATACAGAAATATTTTTTAGCTAGAACTACCACATTGTCTATGTCGTCCTATTTCAATGCTGTTGAAAATTAAGGTATGATTCAACTATCAGCAAACGCTTATAATTATAATTTCATCCTAATAAACCAAGATATGGCTAAATTAAAGACGTTGTAGAAAGTGTTTTTCTATTCTGATGCAAAGATTACTCTTACGTTGAGAAAGTTCAACATGTAAAGTACGCAAATTTCGGCAAACGTTAGCAATGTCAATTTAATATTAATCAGCTCATTAACAAACTATCTTTCCCTTCTACCTCTATTAAAGCTAATTTAATATTCATATTAATAGATAAAAATGGTATTTTCTATCGATAGTATTATTCATCATAGTAAAATTAACCTCAAGTAAATCAAGTTTAAAGCCCAAAATGGCGCCAAATCACGTTCACTTAAAGATTAACTTTCGAGAATTTTGTTGTAAGTAAAATATCTGATGACGAATCGTAACGGCCTAGGCAATAATAAACAATCAAACATTACTGCATTCAGATGTTAAATTCGAATAACTCAATATGCAAATGTCAGTAAAAGTCCAGTATTTAACGAGAATTAATATATTTAAACATCATTGCTTTAAGAAGAATGCCAAAAATTTATCGGAAGTTTTAATGCATAGTATTAATATCAGATATTGGTAAGTCTTTGAGGTAAATCCAATACTAAAGAGATATAATACTCGTAGTCATGCATAAGTTGTAACCGATCACTAGGCAATATACTGAATCTGAGATAGTTCGACATTTCAATTTTAGGCGTAAATTTCACTTTTATTTTAGTCAGTATAAGCTTATTTCAAGTAATCTTATGTCTCACATAAAATAAATTCCGAGAAAGACCTCAGAACAAAATAAATTAGAATCTTATTGAACTTAGGGAATTTAAACATAGCCGGTACTCTAGCTCTCTAAAAAATAGATACATCACAACTAAATAAACATAACAGTCCTTCACCTGAATCCAATGATTATTTAAAATTGTCAACACTACGTCCAAATGCTCTATTACTACAGTAAATCATTACTCCAAAATACCAACAATAGAGCAAGGTTTGCATGAGCCTTACAATATTAGCGATATCGTGAGTTAATGTAATTGTAATAACGAGCACTGCTCTAACCGCAACAATTAAGATAGCAATTTATTAAGCTAAAATATGAAATATCTATTACTTAAGCAAATAATATGAGCTAATAGTATTAAAGTTGCTTAATCAAATATAATCCTTTAATTTATTTCTTCACGAGTCACAACGACGTCATTTCTCTATTTATTGACTTGATTTTCGTCCTAGAATAGCAATAATTATTATGGAGTTCATATTTAACAATCCTTCAATACAGAAATTCACAAACCTGATTTCGTCCTGCTATTTCTTTAATGGGTTCGAGGTTAAGCTCAGAACTTTCCATACTCTTCTGTTTTACTGAAGTTAATTGGAAATTAAATTTATTTCTTTTATTGTAGGTATGAGCTAAGCATCAAGTTGTAATCACAAAATGAATTATGATTTAATATATGGATAGAGAAAAATAAAAGAGCGAGATGCCTATAGTATCAAAAGTGTCTATTATCATCTTGCATGTTTGATAAACATTATTCGCTAAATTAGAATGCTACAGTAGATGAGACTACAGAAGTTTGGACAGAATAAAATTTATGAATACAAAACTTCCAATATTTCTAAATCTCTATCTATTCTTATTGCTCATATTTATTAAGTGGAAGAAAAGTAACCTGGCAGCATATCTATGATTTTTATCCATTTAGGAAAACGATTTCGCACTATTAGTAAAGATATTTACTGAAGCTGAAGCTCCCCATAAGTATAATCCTTGGCTCTTATCTCATGCAAACTTACTTGAGCTAAAAACTCTCGACCTTACTGAGTGATGATTCTCTTCTGAATCCTTCTCTAATTCTCTCCTAATATTTATATTATCATAGGTAGTATCGTTAGTAATATTTCATTACATTAATTTAAAGTCTTACAATCTTAAACTAACTTCTAGCATACCGATAAAAATACGCTTCGTTATCATAAATATAGTATTAAAAGGACTTACTATTAATCAATCTATTATTGATCCGATAAATCAAGTATTGCTGCTATATCTATTTATCATTGCTACCGCGCTATAATTTTAATATTGTTAAGGTTTCACTAAAACATTGTTCATCTTCAAGCTCTTGCCTTAAATCAAATATAAATCTTTAACATGCAATTACTAGCAATATGTGAAATTGAAGCATTAACTACAGGAATATCTCCAAATAAAGAAAAATCTCAATGTTTTCCAATCTTTTTGAACGCTGACTAAAAGATTGCATAATAATATCTAGCATTGCCTAAAGACAGTCTAAAAAGAGTCCTAGCTAGCAGCCCATGAGCGGCAGGTGCTATACCTATTTAATATCTTGATATAAGCTCGAACACAAAGGATCATCAAGAAGAGGAATAATACTCCACTAATTGATATCATTCCAATTCCGAAAGAAGTAGAAACTGTTAAATTATGATATGCATATAAAATTAAAAGTTCAATTTTGAGACACATTATGACGATTTAAATTTATATCCCATGCAAGTAGCATTGTTTAATAAATAACGAGCAGGATAGTGGCTATTAAAAATTGATATTTATCTTTTATATTATCATACAGCAAGGCTGATACGCGAGTAATTATCAAAACACGAGATATAAGGATTTACTTCTCAGTCCTTCTATATTGCATGTTGGCCCACGGTAAGGAGTAATACATCTATAGTATAGTACAGATGATTATTTTTTATTAATTAAAATCAGATTAACAGATGTTTTAGTATGATGATTATTTCATCATACATTAATAACCATAGCAAAAACTTACACGCAAATTGCCCTCTCCTGTATAATTTTACACGTGCCTCCGTTTAAGCAGTATCCTGACTGGCAAACTAAAACAGAAGAAATTTAATCTTAGGTCCTCTTCTCTACTAACATAACGATCATTTTTGTTGTACCTTATAGGAATCAAATTAAAAAGTATTAGAGCATTTATGTTATTTTCTATATCAACTAAATTATGTCGAGAACTAGAGTAGCAGAATTTCAGTAATAATTCTATTGCAGATAGTGTACAGTAACTTATTTCATTTCCAGATTTAATAGCCAGAGATGACAATATAAGCAGTATAATACATGTCATAGCCTAGAAATGTTATAATAATTGAGAGAAAGTTTAACAATTAACTATATCTCGAATGTTTATTTAACCGTTGCAAATGCCGCTTGCATTTCGATATAGCCCAGGCTTACAGCGACATGTATAAGTGCCAAGTAAATTAACGCACAACTCATCTTTGAGGCATTGATTGGTTTTGCCACTTATGCATTCATCATAATCTGGTAATTACAATAAGAATAATCTACCGTTATACATAGTCGATTTTATTGTTTAAGTAGGATTATACTATCATGAAATCATGAAATACCGGTGATAGAACTTGAAGTAACTAGGTTTATGCCGACCGTAGAAATGAAGCTGGCTGCGCAATTCAACCAAATTATAGATAAGTTTTGTTCGGTGACGAATAATAATCTATATCTAATTCGTACGGTACCTGCTGATTTTCTATATAATTCAATAATAAACTTGTTATTATTAAAGCGATTATTTGAAGGGTTAATTCTAAATAACAGATTGTTCCATGTAATGATTTCAATGATGTTAATCTATGCTATTTTGATGATAGCTAGATATATATGTGTATAACATATCGTCTTAATATAGATATTGATAAGCTATTAGTCACGTGTTAAAAGTTATCCATTTCATCTTAACCAGGGTCAATTTCTGCTTATTAACGGTATTAGATTATACGTTTACTATAGGATGTAAGCTTATGCTATATGATTTTGTAATGAAATGATTGCTTGTAAAAATAATCTTAAGTCCGTTTATCCGGTTTATCTTAGCTGTTTTCGACTGATCATATGAGAGGTAAAAATTGAATTCGCTCTTGCGGACAGACGGAATAATAAACGTAGTTTTAAAACTATTCTCTCGGTCGAGACGGTTTATTGCATATCGAAAGGATTTGCTTAACTTGAATAACTCAGATTAAGAGTTAGAGGTCGCGAAGCTACAGTAATAGTAAAAGAGTATTACTCGGTCATTACAATTTCCAATATCGATTTTAAATGATTTTGTAGAATAATATTAATAATAGTAAATCTACTCTTGAGAACACCGCTGTATACTGAGTTAAACTGGAATGTAAATAAATTGTTGAATATCATAATATTCTCGCTACAACGAATTCAATCACTCTGAAGGATGAGGTTTCTATCATAAAGCACATACGAATAACTATGTAAAGAATACTTAGGTAAAAAAATATACACCATTCTATCACACAAGCACTCACAAAATTTTATCAACTGTAACAGTTAATGGAAATACTCTCAATTTTAAGCTTTGATTTATTACTTTGGCTACCTAGAAAATTAGACCTTTATTAGTAACGATGATAGCTTAAAGTATAGGGGAAAAATACAGATTTTAAATTATAACTTACGGAAAATGTAACTTGTTTTGTGATCGTCTTATCATCCAGACGCGAATTGGCTGCCATTACCAAGTCACCTCTATAAATTTTATCTATTATAACCGATTTCTAATTATAGACAAAATATTGTAACGGTATGGATAAATTTTTAAGGTGAAATATCAAAACTACTTCAAACCAGAACATAATCAAGCGTAACAGAATTCGATATATACCTTTTGTACTTTACTTTAAAGTTAAGGATGTATACAGATACTGATGGTTTCATAGTTTCAAAAAAATGCTATTTAAAATTTACCGTTGGAATCATTTCTGAGACACCACGTATTTCCAGCAGCCGATAGAACCTATCAAAATACAGTTTAGGAAAATCAGTTGATCGAAGTACAAAGCACTATCAGTATTCGTAACTTCTTTAGTTAAATATAGCAAGTTGTTTCCCCGAATTATATAAAAATATTAAAATGCTACAGTTGTTCGGGAGTGCAATAGGTTACTCCGTAATAACACTCAAAGTAATGAACTTAAATTATTTTCTGATATCTTTGATGACTTCTTACGATATCAATAGTTACTTCTGAACTTTTATCTAACCATTGCTTACTAAAACTTAATGATAATTTGCTTTTTATCATGCCTACACGTTTTCTGTCTTAGGTCGCATTTTAGTGAGCACTTTGTAAAGAACCTATCTCTCACAGTATGGATGAAGTAAAATACTCATAAATCACATTTTGATGAAAATGTTTGAATTTCTCAATTGAATGATTTATCATACTCTCTCAAACATATAGATTAATCATAAATCGCATTGTTGACCGCACATGACAGTAAATAGAATTATAATTCACACTACAGATCATTTAGTAAAATTTTATCGTCTGTCCGGCTAAATCGACTAAGTAAAAATTCTTAGCATCTTATTTCTCTAGGTAGAAACGGATATACCCTCACTGGGAGGTAAAAGCACGATCTAAATCAGCGTAATAGCATTAACGTAATATTAAAATACTATTACAAGTCCTAAACATTTTTAAGAATTGAATCTTGCCGATGACTAACATCATTGCGATGCTCTACTCTAAACTTAAATAAGGCATTCAACAAAATGACTCAAGCAATATAAAGATAACCTAAGTTAGTTATTTGATTTAATCTATCGCGTATTATGTGGCTAATAAATCGCTGATTTGGCCATAATAATCTTATTTAGACCAGCGCATCTAACAGGAATTTCGAAAAGGTAAAAGTGAGGTAACACATTATTTTGTTAATTACAGCAATCGATACTAAATCAGTAATTTCACTTTATCAATAAATCTGTATGCCAGATTTTACTAAGATACTAAGTCAATCACATAAAAGTATCTAATAAATTTCCTAAGACATCGTATTACCAGAATGTAATTATTCATTAGATATTCATTTCGAAATGCCTTAAATTGTTCGATAGTGTGAATTTAGTCCAAATATCGAATGAGTACAATATGTTTTTTAAGATATAGAGTACATGGAACGCACATTTAAGTATAAGCTATTAAACTTTGAGCATTATCATTGAAGGAAGCCCTGATATTAGTAACTTTATGCAATCCTGTTACAGTGTTATATACTGTATTACAGTAGAAATATCCATGTTAGGATAATTCTATTAGACTATCCTTATTTAGTTAACTTCTAATTTGGATATACTGTATTTCAATATAGCACTGACTTTTTATGACAGTGACACTTATACACATACTGAAATTAATAGTTATAATAGGGAATGCAAATCATCTGCTTACAGTTCCAATCATTGTGATTGTAATTTACTTATGGTAGACTGTAAATTATCATGGAAATGTTCCGTGATAGGACATATCGTAATCTGACTATTCTGTATTAGTCATTACATGTCTATGTTCGTAAATACTGTTGTCTGCATTAAGGGAGCAGTAGCTAAAATTAATATCTAATTCAGTAAATGATTCTAATGTTAATTGTATTAACTATGAATCATGAACTATTGAGAAATAGCATATAAATGCAGTATATCGTGAAATAAAGAAGAATTGTCCAACTTAGTGTTTAACGTAAAATACGAGGCGTTTAAGTCTTTGTGTAGTCTGCTAGTAGAGCAAAAGTGTATGTGATAGTGCAGATATCGTTCCTTGATACGTGATTCAAGGAATTGACTTATTGATCGTATATTGCGTTATCTTGTTGCAAAGCTATTTTGTGACAAAGCCATAATTTTAATCAATAGGTCAACATAGTCAAGTGTAGGTTTTAAAAGATTATCCCTAGATAAGGTAAATGATTTTTAAATGTTATATGATAAACTAAATATGATTACCATCATGCATATAATCGCGAAAGCTACGGCAATTTTCATTTTCGTTCTTCAAATAGCAATAACTATTTATCCTATTACTGCCAGCTTGAAATTTCATGCAAAATTTAGTGATTGTTGGTAAGTCTCCAGGTGAACCCTTGTGAGAGGCTTTGCTAATAAGCAAGATGTTTTAACCTTACTTTGTGTTTTTAATTGTTACAAACTTTGAGTTAGCTCATAGACTAAACCTTATACTTTGATAAAAACGAAATTTTATAATGTCCACAAATTCTATTATTTACTTAATAAAATTATCGCTATCTATTAAAGCTTTATCGAAAAAAAGAAATTTACCACCTGAATGGCTATTGTCTAATTTGCAAATCAAACTCATGCGATCTTTTATATTTTGTAAATAAGTATCAGTCAATGGCAATTCTTAACCGACTCTATTATTAAAAGAGATTATAATATGCTAATTGAGCATTACTACAGTCTTTGATACTCTTCAAAGTTCCATCGACATATAGTATGAATCTTATCTTATTCTATAACGTGATAAATAACGTAATATATTGTCAATGCACTAAATTTCTCTAAACAAGCATTTACAATCTGTTGTCTCAGCTGTTTCGCCGCTGAAACTGTGATGGTCTGCTAGGAACAAGTCGAACAGAACCTTATATTTCGGATAACTTCGATATGTTCAGTAAATCATCCCTTAAAATAAATAATCAACAATTTAAAGCCCTTACATTAACTAGATTTTTTATAATATACTCTATTATCACAAGTCAGGTTAGCAGCATATAGCAATAGCTTCCAATTTCAGCTACCTTCATTTAGAACTCGTTCCTATCTTTCTAAAGTAAAACCTGACAGCTTTCTTCTCTTAAGCTGTTACAAACTCCAATCTCTAAGGCAGATCATTAGCTGTGATTTTAGAATTAAAGTTCATTCTATTATAACAAATTTTATTCCAAAAATAGATAATATAATATTGTAGGTAATTATTTAAAGTAATGATATGAATATTTAAAAATATAATCTAGCGAGATTCGATATTAGTTAAAATACTTTCGAATGTATTACACAACATTGTAAAAGTCATTCAAGAACTATTTTTAGCATTACAGGATATTTACTAAGAGAAGATTGAGCTTATTTATATCTTGCTTTAAAACATATGTAATACTATGCGGTTTTAATATTAGATTCAGAAAATGTGCATTATTGACACATAGACAAGTTAAGTTGGAAATATTGATGTATACAATCACTTTATCTAATTCTTTAGACCAATCTAGCTTTTATTTCGTTATTTCGATCTACTGAGCGCAAAAATTACTATCCGCATATTTCTTGTGTTGTAGTATACTAAAGAGTTACTCTTATTTTCCAAAACTTACATTATTGCTGAACAGTTATCTAGATTACAATTGTCTCTTAAGCAAAATGACAATATATGGCTATACAAAGCTATAAACCAAACAGGCCAGGACTGAGTAGAATAAAATATCAATCTGCTTTCAGTAAATATCTTTTAATACTTTTGATCTACCATAGACATTACCTGAATTTTAAAATAAATTCCTAATAATGGGATTGCTAATACTATATGCTACTGTGTCTAAATTGCGGTATTAAAGCAAATGCTTTTTCATGTAACCATAAATTATCAAAAAGCCTTGTTAGTATCTAAAATATCTGCCCAATAATCATTATTATTTTACATTATATAAGCTATAGAACGCAGTATTCTCTTAATGTCAAGGAAATCATTCTATTATTTATATCATTTATTGTTATCCATAATTAAAAATTAAGAAATCGTTATATTTAAGTGACAAACAAATTTCCAATAGTGATAGGAAATTCATCAAGACTAGATAATAATTATTTATTCAGATTACAGAAAACAATAAAGAAACAAAAAGAAATTGATCATAACGAATATAGTTTTCATCATACGAAATAGAGGTATATTTCCGACTGATTTGAAATCATTAAAATGCTTACCCGCCTAGTGCATACCCGTAATAATTAGAAGTAGCGATAAAATATTAATTTAAGAAATTGAAAATGATCAAAATCTAAAAATTTGAACTTTCAAATCAAATATTTCTAATATTGCAATAACGAAACAATACGCTTCTGGATTCAAGAATTACTTTCTATACTTTTAAGATTTCCTAAGTTCGCCTACCGACTGAACAGAAGATAATAATCGAATGGATACTATTAAATTTTTTATTGCATGGCTATAGGCACGGCAGTAATTTCGTCTAATTTATATAGGCAATGACAGAGCACAATATTTTTAGTTAACCTTTAATATAGATCAATAATAAGTATTAATTTCTTTTGTTATTAGAGAATAATAATCTTATTTACTAATAAATATGATTTATAAAATATTAGAATCAAATTCTAGTGAAAAAATCTGCCAGATTGTCCATTACTCTGACGTTGCAGTTCGACTTCGTTTTTTTCACAAAATGCTCGTAACCGTATATTTTTAGGCAAAATTACTTGATTTACTGGACATTTCAAATTCACTCAACGATTTGCACATTGCAGTTTCTTCTCCGGTCAAACACTTGCGGACTGTAGATTGATCCCTATTTAATCTGTTGCGGCGATAGTTTTTCTCCCTTTTCAATTGAATCCATAAATAATTGGAGGAAGTCAGAAATAAATGATCTTTTACAAGCATATTTTAGACTTATTGTTAACAGTAAACAAAATTAAACTGTATGAGAATTTCATATAATACGGTACATCAGCTGTCCTAATCAAATTATTTTTAGTTTTGAAGTATTTTATAATATGTTATCTTATCTAAGTTATATTTGTTTTAATATTCACCATATTTATATTAGAAATAATCAGTAAATACGTACACTTATAAGACATTGTCAAATAATTGCAATGGCGATACCAGATTTATTATCTCGATGTTAAATAATCAAAGCAGCGAAGTTGTACAGTTTAAAACTGAAAACGACATATCGATCTATTCATTTAAACAATACCTAAGTTTATTATTAACTACGGTTTAAGTAGGTCACTAGTTATCTAGATTATATTCAATTCACTTAGATAAGGTTAAAATACTGCAGTGGTACTCTATAGCACTATTTTAAACTTTAGGTTAATTTTTATACAATATCAATATGAAGTAATCCATATAATCATATTGAAGATGTTTAAAATGTTATAGTATCAGGAAAAGATATCTGCATATTTACCCTTGTTCACTCCTCCAACGAAGAAATAAGTAACAGCCAACCAATAATGTTCCAATTGGTACAGATACAGATATAGCTACAATAATGGCTACTGTCGAACCTAGTAAGGAAATATTTATAAATCGATTAACTCAGATAAACGCGTGTAATTCATAGATTAACTAAGAGGTTGGTACAGAATCTAACTTGCTAATGGTTCAATTTTATCGCAAAGATGGCCAGTATAACTAGCTTCACATCTGAAACAAAACAGTACGGTTAATAAATTTAATGAGCTATTAAATGGTAGACAGAAAAACCTAAAGAATTTTCGTTAACCAATGCTCGTAAATTTAAAAGCAAGGCTCCTATATTGCCAACTATAATTTAAATGATATATTATTTCTGTATGTTACATTCGGAAATAATATCTCTTCGGTATTTTTTCCGCAAAATCACGTTCATACTAGCTTATACGAAGTTCTTGATTATTTTGATAGCGACCTTTCAACTGATGTATTTTCAGCTACAAATATTATCTTCTAACTAGCCTTTACAGTAAATCCTCATCAGAACAGGTATAATAAGTACACTGTTACAATGATGTTAGTATTACAAAGTAGTAATCTTATGATTAACGTAATTTCGATTTATCATGCTGTAAATACTAATATTAAATGTCAGTATAATGATGCACATCATTGTTAATAAGTAAAAAATAAAGTAAAACTTAATCAATAACTAAGTCAATGCGGTGAATAACTTGCTGCGTCTGCAACTTATGAAATACTCACTGTTGGAGTACTCATAATTGCGCGATCAAGGTCCCGTTTTATTGGTTACGTCCAATCTGGAGTATTTATATCTAAATGAATATCTTAATAAACTATTTATTCTATCTTCTAACTAGATTCGTCCTCTTATTTAAGCCTAAACTGACTGTAGAACGAAATTTCGCAAAATATGGCTTAAATTTATATCTTGCATAAACTAGAGTACGAAATGAGTATTAAATTTTGCAATACCTAATCATTAATGGCAAGATAGTAGAAACTTTTATTATTAAATCGCAATAGAACTTGTTTGCATGCTTACTAGTGTTTTGAACTTCAAAAAATTAGTAATATTGGTAACTGAAATAGCTTCTTTTGGTAGGCAATTTTTCTGTTAATGAAATTAAGGATATTTGTAGGTAAAGCTGAATAATCTCAGCCAGAATTCTTCTACTTTATACCAAAGTCACAATAAGTTCTTTCTTATTGCAGCGTCATTCGTGACATATGTGTATAATTATTTTTAGAATTATTATTAGTGTCAACTTTTTAAGTTAGCTACCTCAAAATTCTCTAATACTGCAGGTATAATTTACAAAGTTTCTAGAATCAATTTCTCTTTAGTTTTTCAACCCTACATTATTTTCTTAGTAGTCACCTCATTCGAAGATAAGCGCAGCATATCTATTGTGTAGCACTGCAATAATCTTAGTTTCTCAATACTTGCCTGCAATATGCCCAATCCTTGTTATTCACCAGACAATATCCTCCGTTCTCGCAATTTAACTTGCACCCTTAATTTCCAAATATTTAAAAGTAAAATAACCATTTGAAGAATAAAATCTAAATTTTCCTCTTTTAGACAAAAGAATTCAATAAACTTTCTAAGGTCGAGATTATATTTCTTCAATGCCTCAAATTATAAAATTAACAATTTTAATATCATATATTTAACTATCTCTAAAATTACTGACTTACTTCTACAGTCTTTAAAGTAGCTCGCATTACGGGCATAGCTCGCGCAAACACAACGATATGAGCCAATAGAATTAACACAAACTTGATTTTTTTCTAGGGGACAAGGACTTCCAATACCAATTCCTTGAGCTGCACATTCATCAATGTCTAAAATTCAATATAAAAATTGAAAACTTCCGAAAGCCATTTCCTTTAATTTTAAGCTTTGGGCTTCAAATTAAGAAATTTTCACGTAAATATTTTTTCAGTTTATTTTGATGACGATAGTGGACTGTTAAAAGAACTTCATACCATGTATATGTTATGATATCTAAGAGCAAATCAACAACTCAAGTTGACTCATACTATTCACTACATTCTAGCCTACGCTTAGTATTCAGACAAGTTTTTCATTAATATTATTAGTTTATTTAAGTAAAGATAGAGCGATATTACTAATTACTAATCATACTTCTTGATAAAATTTTTGAAAGTTCATAACGTTATTACTGTAAGTATAAGCTTCTAATAACTACTCACTCTTCAATTGATTAAATTCAATATTGTAGTTTGTCATTTTAAAATTGATTCTCCGTTAGAACTAAAGTTGCCAAGACATAATCTTAGAAGTTCTATCATCAGGACTAGTAAGATAATAAGATAAGCAAATTTCACATAAAGTCGCAGACAACCATTTTATCATTAAAATATGTTGCCGTATATAAGCAAAGCTGAATATCTTAGAACCCAAAATGGAACATCAATGGAAGAATGGAGATACTTACATAAATTTAAGTTAAATAAATGGTATTATAAAGTGTAGAAACAGACTCTTATAAATTTGTTTAAAAAATTTCTTTTTAATAATCTTACCGTAACATCTAAATCCATCTCCATTAAATCCTGATTTACATGAGCATATATAAGTAACATAAGAGCCGTTGGTCATGGATGAACAGACAGCATCTGAGCTACAGTTTAGGCCATTTTTTAAACAGTCTTCTTTTGATGCTAAACAACATTCGATATGCTAGCAAAGTTAGATGAAAACTTAGGCAAAATTTTTGAAGTTAAATTCAGCAAAACATTTTCATAATATACCTTAAACTAAGCTTTTTCTTGTCATAAACAATGGATACAAACATATACTATTCTGAATACTGCAGCACAAGCTAATTCTTACGGAAATTTATTGCTATCAAATAAACAGTACAATATTTATCTTATGAAAACTAGCTTAACAGATACTTCTGATGAAAAGATTCATATTGATTCTATAACTACACTCAGATTCTATTCAATGATCAGTTCTGAATTTTATAAATTTTAGAGAAGTTTCGGATTAGTTCATCATAAATGAAATAATATTCGTATTATAACTAGCCATTCATATCTAATAATAATTGTTTCAAATAACTTAAGATATGCTGATACAGAATATGTTATCTAAAGTTATATACTTGAATAAATAAATGTGAGAAATAAACCCTAAAGATTAGTAATAATATGCTATATCTAAAGAATTACTGTAACCAATGCCTGAGAGTTCATGGATTAGCCTAGGTGTAGGTTTCACTACTAACATAAAATTCTGCATTAATTTAACTTACCAATAGATTGTTCTTGAGCTTGAGTCTGACAGAAACATCCGCAGATCTAGTTTAATCATAAAGTAAGATTTACAAACTAAGTAATAAGACTTAAATTTTACTTTATAAAAATTGCAACGGTAAATAAATCAAAGATCATTGTCTACGAAACTAAGATTTATAATCACAATCGCACTGCGATAAAAAGAAACGATTGAAAGAGCAATTGTGATGCAATAACTATATGATTATAAAGCACAGTAGTGAAATTTTCTTCCGTGAAAAACTAAGGCTTCAGGTAGGTCTAAGATAGAAATGTAAATAAAACGTACGAGAATATAGGAATGCCACTAGAAAGAGAAAATTTACAAAATTGTAGATTGCAAGCATTTACGTAAAGAAAATCTAGTTAAATTGTTTAAAATTGACACTGGAAGATATTAACTTATAAACTGTCAGGCTGCATCAAATACTAAGACATCTTAAAAACATGTAAGTTTACAGTTGTACTGCAGAGGGCTTAAGATACAGATTCTGACTTTTTCATCGGACAGAAAATAAATATATAAGGCGAAGACATGAAAATAAGCCATATTTCATGTTTTTATTACAGCAATAACTGAAAAGTTTAAACTTAAATAGAAATTATCTAGGTATAGAATGCATTATTCTGGTTATATAACGGTATATATAACTATAACAGCCAAACGTTTCGCGATAACTATTGCTACAAGCTAGTAAATATACCAAGTCTTAAAACACAATCATGATATTATCTTTACTTTACGGAAAATATGGCACTTACCAAAGCTACATAGAGGATCTTGCTATTAGCTAAATGTTTTAATATCATATTTGACCCTTTCGAAAATCACTGAAAGACAGCAAAGTCAATTCCAAATTAAACGTAGAAAATAAACGTATCTAAAGTAAAATTAAAGTATTTTATACTTCCAGCTCTCTATTGACTTACAGTTTATCTTAGACTATTCTTTTTAATAAGAAAATATGAACCACTTTTATAATATTATAATCGATCATTCTTTCAGGATTATGTTTATGTCATATTTGATTAATATCATATCAACTAATTATTTGGTTGAAAAATGAGATAATGATTGAATCTCAATTAATTTGAATGATCGTAATATAAACGATATTCCAAACGTAGAACAGGTAAAGAATACTCCTGAAATTGATACCACATAGAGTAATATATTTTCAGTATGCTGCAAGGACAAAAGATTATTTTCGATGCATTAATAGGTTAGAATACTTCCGTAGAATGTATTATTATCATTTCATTAGAGCACTGCAGCATAACCGTCTCAATTCCGGTGCTGGTGATAAAAGTTGAAATCCATCATTTGATCAAGATAATAAAAATGTGTAAATGAATTCAATACCTACATTTTTCGTTAATAGTAGCCAATTGTCAAATCTTTTATTCAATGCTGGCGTTTATTTAATAGCTTCCCAAAGATAGAATTTTTAAAATAATATTAACGTCATCAGATAGGTAAATAGACGTCAAGAGAAATTTATACGTGTATTATAGGAATTTAAAAGATCTATTTCAAATTTACATGCAAAAACTTTAACTTATCAATTGCGAAACCTTACTATCGATCAATTGTCGATCTTCTGATTTTAATCTCAAATTAGCATCGCAGATAGACCAAATAAGTAATGATATTGTTTATTTTCACAACCGTACAAAATTTAAGTATCACAATATCTTGAAATGCATCACAAACCTACCGCCAAAAATTGTGACCTAACTCCTCTAACATTTTTAGAAAGGTCTCCTGTTTATCTGAATTTACTTTTTTTGCCTTATTCAACAAGGGACCGGAATTCTTATTCAGAAGCACACCAATATTTGTAGAAATCAAACTTTGAGCCCTATAATTAAATTTTTATATAAAAAAATTTTTAGGCTAAGGTATCTAGCTATCTGATTGCTATTATCAATTGAAATTAATATGTTATCATTCATTCTAACTGATCCAATTTTAATCGTTAAAGATAGTAATGTCACTAAAATCTCAATTTTCTTAGTTACGCGTACAAGATCTCAGCTAGGCACTAAAAATGCTAATAAAAATATAGAAGTAAGATGATGCTAGTCAGATCTTATGACCCTTATTTAGACGAATGATTGCCTAAGATCATGCGTTAATTCTTTAATGAGCTAAATATGTATTGGTTTTTCTGTGCAAAATCAAAAAATTTGATCATTATCGTCGTTATATTGTATACTTAATCACACTACCTTTTTAGGTAGCAAAAATTAAATGCATATAACTTCTAAGAAATAATATTATCTTTAGAACATTTGCGGCTACAAAAATTTTTTATGACAGCTTCAGGATTAGATAGACTCAATTAATTAATTCGTTTGCTAATCATTTCTCGAAATGGTTAAACTGTAATGTCCGGCCTAATTTCATTACGAGCGCCTTAATTTATTCGCAACAATAGAATTTCATAAAGTTAAGATACGGACTGGAGCGGTACATCCTAATCACCAGTTATTGTGATAAAGGATTAGTTTAGTTTAAACCGTTTAGAAATAGCTCTATGCTCAGCTAAAACTAGAAGCTAACCTTTATTCATTAATCGTACACTGTGAAACACTATGTTACACGGATAATTTTAATAGCTTTTACTCCGAATAAGCTTTATCCGGAGTCAGAGGTAATACGAACTATCATTGCTAAAAGTAAATGTAATCATAACAGCTGATGAACTCTTTTTAAAACACAAAAATATTATACTTAACTTATCTTACTAAACCATATTAATTCCCATTATAAATATTTTAAGTGATTAAGCTGTCATAGTAAACCTAGTCAGCGGCAATATTAGTTGCTTAACTGTTTCCCATATTAGTACTGCAAAAATATAAATTTTAAGCACTTTTCATATTCAATTTATCACAATCTTCATAGGTTATATTCCTACACAAATAAGATAAATCCATTTTCGATCTACTGTATCATTTCAACTCCACTATCTGGCTTTCATCAGACTGTTTTAAAGAAATTCATTTTAAACTAAATAGTAACAGACTTTCGTTTACTTACCACATGCTATTATATACTGTACTAACTACTACAATTGAAGTTTTCTTATAAAAGCATAATCAAAATGCTAGTAAGAGTAGGTTATTTAGAGGTTCAAGTGGATAAAGTATCAATTAAGCAAAATTTTAAAAGAATTATGGCTTGCATGATTTAAAGAAATAAATAACTTCTATTTTTCCTGGCCTCCTGATACGAATATAGATAGCATTTCTTACAGTAAAGACATCCACAATGTTTTAAGAGTGAATAGATGTAAAGCAGTAGGCTCATGTATTGCTAATTTATACTTATAGTATCGGAACATACAGGAGTAAAAATAAAATTTTGCCATTTTACGTATATTGATCATAAGCACATAAATTCTTACATCAATATTCGTATATTACTCTAAAATGGAGCTATTGCGACCGCATTAGAATTTGTAAGTCTTGCTTTAAAAATAATTTCGCTTATCACAGGCAAAGTTGAGATACAGGATTTCTCTATAGTAAATTATACCAGTAGTGCTAGATTGCGGTTTCGAATCGGAAGTTATTATTAAGACACGAGTATCGTGATAAGTAATCCTATATATGTAAATAGCTGGTAATTAGTTAAGAGCACAAAGTTACACTAATTTAGATCTAAGAGTATATGACAACTGACATAGTATATGTACGATAGCTGATGTTGTTTATCAGTCTTAAGCTCCCTATCATCTCTGTAGCTGGTCACTAGTGTAGTTAGAAGATTAGAAAGCAAGTTTCTTTTGATGATGTAGTTCTAGATTCGATCTTATGGAAGACTAGTATCTGTGCTTGGCTGTCATTAGAAGCAGCTTCTATGTTACACAAGCGATTGTAACGGTTATACATTACTGAGATCATTAATTAATGTTCAAGAAGCTAACACAGTAAACTTAGATTTAAATACAGGAATTCTCACTAGTTATTAATATCTTATAGACCACAAATTAAAAGATTCCAGATTATAGCTTTGAACATATTGTTATCGTAGAATGTTTATAAATAATACTTATCGAAGATTATAAACTCACACTAAAAATATCATATTAGCACCAGTAAATGCTGTAATATTAACTGTATTAGTATTGCAAACATGGAAAACACCTATATTAAATCACATATTACTTACATTTCTAATCCGAAAACTTATTCACAATAACAAGTTAGATGATAGTATTAAAGAGTTACAGTAAAATCACACCTGAAGTTATAAAAAAAATATTTGTAATGGAAAGATGGCACTCACTAAGTCTTGAAGATTTAGCTAATAGGTTTTAGCTAATATTTCTTGATAGAATATTTAATCATCTATCCATCTTTTTAATTTACAATTGAAGCAAGAAGATCTGATAGTGTTTTCATCAATATTTTTAGTATATTATCAACGCAAGATATTCAGCACATAATTTATCAACTAATTAGATGAATTCTTTGCCTATGCTAGTTATTGACTCACATAGATTTCAGTTAGCAAACTCTAACTTTATCTGTATTATGATCATACACACGTAATCATACAGACAGCAACAGTCACTAGCTTGTTATACTAGAATTGAAATTTTGTACAATATTTAATGAAACCTTGGCTTTAGGATTGAATGAATGATTTAAGCCTGCCGCACTTAACATTCTAATTATTATAATGTGGTAGTAAACAAATATTATAATATACAAGTTTTGAGAGAACGATAGACTACGATGATGATTTCATAGCTCGCTTTAATCTTCTTTGTAATAATACTTAGTCATTATTTTACAAAAGATTTTAAGATTTTCCTTGTGATAATAGTAGACAGTATAATTAAAAGTAGCATCATCACCTATCCCGAAATCTAATTTTAATAATAGAAATTGATTCATAACGGGATTAAAACATGTTTTGTCTATAAAGGCGTACACTATTTGTTAGCTATAAATGAAATCTGTGTTTAATAAAAATACTAAGCTAACATTGTACTTTTTTATTTTATATATCGTTAGAGTCGATATCTATAATTTGATCAAAGCATTAATAAAAGTCACATTCCAGAACCGCCTTTAAGTAGTTCGAAACCTTCAGAGATCAATAACATATCTCTTTTATTACTATTTTATTGACCTTTTTGCTTTATATATCTTATAACAATAGAATTTCAACGGCTGTGATTACTATTATCAAAGTCCAATAGATCAGATTATAATTATTTTGACGTATGGCCAAGAAGAACTATAACTTAGTACCATAAATCTAAGTTATTACTCAAATAAACCCCACCGAGCTGCTGTAAATTTAATTTTATTCAATCTGTGATTTTAGTATATTTTATTTATAGATAAGACATAATGAGACCAAAAATTTATGAAATAGTAGACTTACTAACATAGGAAGAGAGCAGAATATGTAAACTGAAATATCTGTTTCGAGAATGATCATACAGTATATTAGTACGATTCATAATAAGCGTATTAATTTCATTACCAGGGCTGATTTTTAATTATTAGATTGAATTCATTAATGTTTTTAGCGGTCTCTGAACAGTTACGGTTGAAATTTCATTTTAGTAAGAATTACAACACACAAGAACCGCAAAAAGACATCAACATCATATTTTCATTGTTGGTATTAATTCCACTAGTTAGAACTAAGCTTCGCTAAGAAAGGAAAGCTTTATAATTAAATTAAATTAATGACTTAAAACCTATAATTTATATGTTAATACAATCGTGATTACAAAATTAAACTAATCTATTGCTATGTAACTTAACGTGCTATTATGGTT